AAGACCTCCACATGGTCTTTATTGATTTAGATAAAGCAGATGATAGGGTAGCTAGAGGTGTGTGTTGGAAAAGAAAAGAGTCTCCAGAGGCTATATTAACATCGTGAGAGATATGTAAGAGGGAGCGCTAACTAGTGTGAGGACAACTAATGGAGAGACAAGTGAGTTTTCAGTGATAGTAGGCCTAAATCAAGGGTTAGCGCTAAACCCATACCTCTTAGTTTCGGTTATGGACAAGGTAACTAAGCACCTACAAGATAAGGTATTGTGGTGCATGTTATTCACGGACGATATAGAATCTAAAGGTTTTAAAATTAGTCAGACTAAGACAAACTATATATAATGCAAGTTTAGTAACAATACAAGCAGAAACAAGAAAGTAATTATGATTGATGGCCAATAAATACCTAAAAGAGGTTATTTTCGATACCTTGGGTCGATAATCCAAAAGAATGGAGAGATTGAGGATGATACCGTACATAGAATTAGAGCTTGGTGGGCGAAGTGGAGATGTGCAACCGGAGTTTTATGTGATCACTGCATATACCAATGAAACTAAGGGGAAGTTTATAGGACAGTTGTAAAACTAGCCATGCTATATGGGACAGAATGTTGGGAGATCAAGAAACAACATATCTATAGGATTAGTGTAGCTGAGATGAGGATGTTGAGATGGATGAGTGGCAAGACAAAAAATGATAGAATTTGGAATAATACATTCGAGGAAAATTAAGTGAGGCTTCAATTGACGATAAGATGAGGGAAAGTAGACTTAGGTGGCTGGCCATGTGCAGCATAGACATAATACAACATTGGTTAGGAGGTGCAATTTGGTCCAAATGGAAGGCTCTAAAGTGCAAGGGGTAGGCCCAAAAGGACATGGATAGAAGTAATGAGAAACGATATGATCACATATATTCTTACTAAGCCCCTGATAGAGCAAAATGAGATAACAAGATTCATATAGCCGATCCCAAATTGTTGGGATAAGGCTCGGGTGGTTATGATGATGATGAATGGATCAGCTATTATGATGATGATGAATCCCAACTAATTAGCAATCACCAACCAAGAAAATATAAGAATACTAATTAACAATCATGATCAAACATTTTTCTATGATCTTCCTGTGAGTATCTAAAGCACCATCCCTCCCTCCCTCTTCTGCTAATTTTATTGCCTACCCACTTTTTGACTTGGAAAATTGCTATCTTGAGATTCATAACCTAATCAAATTGATACACATAGGAAGCTAGAGTAGCTAAGATACTCCCACAACCAACTTGTCTAGCAAGATTCAATCCATTATTTTTGCATCCCCTAGCTCCATTTGGTTGCACAATTTCCAATCAAATTAGCATGCTGTTGAGATTTTTATATAGTTTCTATCACTTTCAACATGTTATTTAGCCAAGATACATATTTACATCCAAAATTATATAGTGCCAGCACTATGGCTATGGAGAGCCATAAATGAAGGATTGGCATTGTTTCAAAACGTGGACAGCCCAGCACCTAGGCGGTCCAAGAGGCCTGGGCGCATTATCCAAGCGTAGGCTGCCAAACTAGGCGGCAGTCCCTGGGTGGCCGCCTAGGCGTTATGGCACTCGCTTAGGCAGGCACCCAGCCCTGAGCGGCCGCCCAGGGACTGCACCCCACCCAGGGGCGAAAATGACTCTTTTATTAAGGGTATTATTGGGTTTCTTGAAAAAAAAAAAAGCTTTTAAGGGAGGGTTTTAGGGTTATTAGAAACCTAAACCCACAATAACGCATTTTAGAGAGAGAGAGAGAGAGAAACCTAAAAAAACTAGATTTTGTGGTTTTTATTAGATCAAAATGTTTTTCAAAGTTACGGGAAATGGATCCAAACATCACCCAGGTAGATTAGATTTAGTTTTAGAGTTTTTTTAATGCTATTAGAAGGTGTTTTTTAATATATTAGCACCAGAAAACCTCTCAGAGGTGGAAGTTTAGAGTTCGAGCAATCAAAGTAAGTGCAAAACTTTATTTTTTAGATTGCTTGTTTTATTTTGAGATGCCTTCTTCAAGATCTAGTTGAAGTAGAGATCCGGGTTGGAAATACGGATATAACCCGAATCCGAATGATAAAAATTGCATAAGATGCAATTATTGTGAAAAAGGTACAAAAAGGGGCATAAATCGGTTTATGAAACATCTTGCCGGTAGTAAGGGGGATGTTACCCCTTGTAAAAATATTCTTGAAGCTATCAGAGAGGAGATTAAGCAATATATGAGTTCTGTAAACAAAAACATGAACAAAATCATTGTCAATTGAATAGGTCTATTTTTGGTTCTGCTAGAAGAAGTGATCCGCATGGAAGTATGGTCATAACTCGAAACTAAACGATAAAAATTGTATAAGGTGTAATTTTGTGAAAAAGATATCAATGGGGGCATTAACCGATTCAAGAAACACCTTGCCAGTATTAAAGGGAATATTACTTCTAGTAAAGAGGTTCCTGAACCTATTCGGGATGACATTAGATAATTTATGAATTTAGTAGAACCAGAAAAGGATGAAAAGGAGCATTGTTCTATGGAAATATCTTCTCCAGTTTCTTCTAGAATTAGTGATCCGAGTTGGAAGTATGGTTAAAACCCGAATCCGAATGACAAAAATCGTATTCAATGTAATTATCGTGGAAATGATACTAATGGGGGTATTTACCGGTTCAAGAAACACCTTGCCGGTATCAAGGGTGATGTTGACCCGTGTGAAAATGTTCATGAGGTTACTAGGGAGGAGCTTATACAATATTTGAATTAAAGGAAGAACAAAAAGATAGAAAAGGGTCGAGCAGCCAAGACTCATAGGGCCTCATCTGCATATAATAAGAGGGAGATAAGAGAAGAGGAGGAAGAGGAAGATTCAAAAGAAACAGAGGAGGACGAGCATTACGTTGAAGAGGGAGTTGACTATGATGGCTTCGAATCTGATGCATATGATGAGGCTCACCCTACTCCCTCTGATGATGATGATGACTGACGAATGAAGAGTTAAAGACACTTGACTCTTGGTGTTGACTCTTGGTGTTGACTATTGAGTGTTAACTGTTGTGTCCTAGTCTCCTGGACTGTATATTTTCTGAATTCTTATATATTTTCTTTTTCTTATTTTTAGTTTCTAGTTTCTACTATCTGACTTTTGTTTTGTGTGTATCAAAATCAGACTATCAGTGTATACTTGTATGGTTTTAGCATTGTATGAAAATATGGATTATGGTCTTACGGACTATCAAAATTCTTTTCTCGACTTGTCCTCATTCATGGAAATATTAAATATGGATTACGGATAGAATATCAAAATTTTAATATTTGTGGTTAGAATATCAAATTTTTCCTCATTTGTGGTTATCAAAATTCTAACTTTTTTCTTTCTACTGGGCGGCTTGGACCCCCACGGCCACCTAGGTGCAGCCTAGCGCTTTTTAAAACACTGAGGAAAGGTATGTCGACAATGAGGGTCATGTACCCTCAAAGCTGAGAGGTAGAAACACCATGAAACTTTTAAATTGAGCTATTCCATGAAAAATCAAAATTTTTCATTCAAAAAAATGGATATTACTAAGGAGACACATGTGTGGAGTAATTGAAAAACCAAGGACTCAAAAGCCTCGTCTGTAGGTAGTAATATTACTAAAGACCTTGAGCGTCAAGACAACATTAAAGCAACCCATTCTTATGGTTTTTTTTTTTTTTGGGTTCGGATATTTTTGTCTGTGTGTGTGTGTGGGGGGGGGGGGATGCCTGTTAGGTGGAGAATGAAAAATTACGGTCATAACTATAATTGGTTCAGGAATATAACCAAGAATCTCCTTGGTCTATATCAGAATCAAGGGTGATGAAGATGCTGCAGAATTCATTATATGTGATACGGTATACTTCATGTAGGGAAAATCATGCATAAAATTTATTTCCATGTAATTTTTTGTCTCCAATTCATGAAACTATCACTTCCCAAAAAGGTAGAACAAATTAGACATGAGAGAACCAACTAACTAGAAATATAGGAATCACAACAAGCTCTTCCAACAAAGACTTAGAAAGCTCCCTAGATGCAACTATTTAGTATATTGCTCCAAACAATAGATTACAAAACAAATAAACTACATGTACAATAGACTCTTTCAAGTACTAAGAAATACGTATAATAAGCAACCTTGAACTGAACTACAAACATTTCATAATTCACCATAAATCATTTTAACCATAGAAGATACAGGAATGATACAAATACAAATTAAAAGACACCAATTCTTTTTATTCACAAAGTAAATCAAAACAGCGACAGTGAATTCATTAAAACCGAAAGACCAAGTGCTTCTCGCTCTCGAGTTACATGTAAACAAACCAAAAACCCATAACTAGTACAAAACCCGCATGAAATTGTTCATACTTCACTGTTTCAACATAAAGCCCAAGCAACGAACAATCCGTACCACAAACAAATAGAAGTGAAGACAATGAAAATTAGTACTGAGTTTCAGCTCAAGGCAAAAGCAGAGCGTATTTCACTACATTCAGTCCCAAACTCCACTCCTCTATGTCCTAACCCTCAAAACAGCAAAGTATGGCCCAGAAGGCCAGAAACTAAATGAATGACAATGCATAACCTAAAAATAGAAAGAGAGAGAGAGAGGGAGGTTGCCATGACTGCCGTCACATACTCACCACCCGAACATTAAAAACAATTAACAATCAATAGGACAACTCAGATAGAGCATGCAGCTTCCAGAACAGTAAACTCAGTAAATAACACAAAACCCCCAAAAGAACGCCTAAATATTCACTCATAAGCAGGTGCATGTAATCTAAATGCAACTATCTGACAAATTATTCCATTAAAATGCAAATCGAACTCTGAACACCATGAAACTTGGTCCACAGAAAAAGAAAGAAATTGAGCTCAGAGTCGAGAGACCCAAAAAACAGAAAAAACATAGAGACAGCGGAGATAAAGAGTTGAGAAGAACGCTTACGCAGTGATCGCGCGCAGTTTGCTACAGTGCTCGATAAAGAGAGAGAGAGAGAGAGAGAGAGAGAGAGAGGGGGATCAAACAACAGCGTTTCGTATTTCGTCAGGTAGCTGCGGTTGTTAAATGTGAGCTTGCTCTCAAGAATTTCCCGCTCCTCAATTGAGACTTACGTCTTCCTTTTGGTGCAGCGTGTATTGCGCGGCAACTTTAATTCGAGGAGGGTTATGCAGCGTCTATTTTTGGTTGGACAATCAAAATTTAGAAAAGTAAATATAGTTATGTTCTCTACTTTTGATATAAGTAGTGAATAATAACCACATTTACTTTGGATATAAGTGGCTCATAATTATTATTCACTATTATATTTGAAACTTAGTAATTGAGGATATGTTACTGTTGGGACGAAAAATCTAAAATAAAATTTTTTGAATATTGTGATACATTTTTATTAATTGAATTTCACATTTAATGGTTAAAAGTGATTTTGACCTCAATGTCAAAAAAATGATTTGTTTTAAATAAAAGTTTGTTTAGAGTTAACAACCTCTCAAAATACAAAGTTCAATGTTAGAATGAATTGTGACGGGTATATTTATCAAAAAATAATTTTTATTTTAAATTTTATTTTAATAGATAATTTAATAATTAAAGGTAAAATTGAAATTTAATCGAGTACCTTTATCGAGTAGTAAAACTTTCAATTTTATCTTTTATAAAAATAACAAAAATACCCCCATATATTTTGGTAATATTTATACAAGGAAAATTATTTCATGCGGCACGGACCGTATTTCTACATTTGTGGTCTTCAAGGTATAAAGCACCCATTTAAGATGCAAATCAGTGGTTCATCTAAATACAATTGAAACTAATGGTCCAAATATTTTCTTAATAAAATTATTATTTTTAATTTTAAAAATTATTTATTTTTCATAATCATGGTCTCCATGTTAGAGATTATTTATCCTTAAAAAATTAAGTCCAAAAATCCATCTCAAAAATAGATTTTCGAGAAGTGATTCATTTCTCCATAGAAACGATGTCCTATTGTGATTTCAAAAGTTGGTTCTTAAGTTTCAAATTTTGAGAAACGGTCTTTTGCTAGAGCGAGTAGATCTACACAGCATACAATACTGCCATGGGAACATGCTATACACTTTTCTTTCTTTTCTTTCTTTTTTTTTTTTTTTTTTTTTTTTTTTTTTTCATAGAGGTAATTCGAAGTTTGAAACAGGGGAGAGTCACTGAGACAATAAAATAGCGAGGACCGAGGCAAAAAGAATGGGAGTAGTATGAATTGATTCCAAGTTCAAATATCTATCTATACTACATTGTTAAGTCATAGCAAAGTCTAGAGTGTATGTAGGCCACGTAACTTTTAAATAAAAAGATTTAGGGTGTGCAATCGCTATGTTTAAGAGAGAGATGTGAAAGAAAGAGGGCTCCCAAGATCTGCTTGTGACCCATTATACAAGGCTTTAAATCAGTGTTTTAAAAAACGCCGAGTCGAACAGGACTCGCCCGGCTCAACTCGGAAATCGCGAAATGGGGATCGGATCGGTTAAGAAATTGGAAATCGTTCGGTTTTAGAGAGAATCGGACGATTCTGCACAGTGACTCGCCGAGTCACTGTGCGGTATCGGCGAGTCCGTGAAGAACACGGGTTGCACAGTGTTCTTCACTGGTTTCTTTGAAATTTGTCATTTTTTGATCATTTTTCTTGTTTTTTTTGGCATATGATTTAATTTGCAGGCTGTAAACAGCTTTATTCAGCTTTTTCAAGGATTAAATGGTTGAAAAATTTGGTGTTTTTGGATCACGAAAAATTTGGTGTTTAGGGTTTCCGCCTTTTCTGAAAGTTTCATGCCAAATAGGGCATGAATCTTTCAAAATTTTTAGGCATTTTGATCTTAAAGCTGTGAATCAAAACCTTTTGTTACTAATTTGTGATAATCGTTGAGAAAAACAGAGTTTCTTGGAGATTGAAGGCTTCGGTTCACAAAATCAGGTAAGAAGTGTGGGTTTTTTTTTTTTCCGCCATTTGATTTA